GGGAACTCTTTGCAAAGTGCATTTCTGTGCTGCAAAGAAGAAATGCACACTGCAAAGAAAGCTACAAATTGGCGGGAAAATAATTCAGTGGTGCCAAAGCGCACACAAAACAAAATCACACCTTTGGGTTGTGACAAAACTGATTTAGGTCAAACTGGTTTATGAAACGTCTGTCCCAGACCCCTTCCTGGTTCAAGTTAAATCAGAGTCCCCCAGCATTTTACAGCCCTGGGCTGGGCTGTGCTCTGTGCTCCAGAGAGCAGGGCTGCCCCTGTCCCTCTACTCCGTAGCTGGAGCAGTGAGGGCTGGCTCACTGCTCCCCGCTCCCCAGGCAAGCCCCTGCTGGGGTCTGGGGCCAGAGTAGGGGGTAGACACCTGGAAGCTGGAAGAGATAGGGATGAGAAAACCTACAGAGTCTTGCTGCTGTGATTCTGGACTGCACATCCTAGAGACCTCAGGGGCAGCAGGAAGAGGAAGTGAACACACAGCTGGTGCTGGCTACATGCTAGAGAGTTGTGCTTTAGTACCCCCCAGCTTCTGGTTTGAGCCACTGCAGGCATGTACCTGCATTTCCTGAATCAAAAGTGAATGTTTGTTCATTTGCTTATTGGTTCAATCTTTGCAGATTAGATTAACCTGCGATGACTGAATCAGTTCAGCCTCAGGCATTTTGACTTTATACTTAGCTTGTAAGGAAGGGCGACCTGGAAAGCGGTTGGCTGTTTTGTCTGCATGATTCTACAAGTATAGAAAACCACTCCAGTTTTAACCCTGCTTCACCCAGGGTCGCTGTTAAAGTGATTTATGTCATGATTGCACCAGGCTCATGGCAAGGTACTAATTACAACACTCCTGAGCAACAGCTTTCCATCCCATTTTGAAGCCAATGCATATGCTTGCCCCTACTCTCAAATAATAGTCCTGATTCTACTTCCTTATAAAATCAATGATAAATGACATGTGCCCCTGGCATCTGGGGGGGCAAGACGGGTCTGGTGGCAGCAGGAGTGTGGTGGTGGAAGCACGGCGGCAATAAGCATGGAGCTACCGCAGACACCACCGGCGCTGTCGGGAGCAGGGAGGTGTGGCAACCACCTGCAGGCGCTGCCGGCGGTGTCGGCAGTGGCCAGCAGCAATCGCAGACTGCCCACAGGTGCCACCGACAGTGTTGGCAGTGCCTTTTTGTAGGCGGTGCACTGCCACACTTAGGGGGTGCACATGCACCCCCTATCCATCGCCCCTGAAGTCAACAACAAAATACCCATTGACTTCAGTGACCATAAGCTTGGGGCCAGTATTTTGGTACACTTAATAGATTCCAAAAGAATAAAAAGTGACCTTATTTTTCATGTACTTGTTTATTGTAGGTGGGAACATAATCCTTGGACTGCATGTTCTGTTTCCTGTGGAGGTGGAATTCAGAGGAGAAGCTTTGTTTGTGTGGAAGAGACCATACATGGAGAAATATTGCAGGTTGAGGAATGGAAATGCATGTATGCCCCCAAACCTAAGGTCATTCAAACATGCAACCTATTTGATTGCCCCAAGTGGGTAGCTATGGAATGGTCTCAGGTAAGTTGAAAAGTAACTTGGACCTATTTTTAAGGCATCTTCTAATTTTGTAAAACCATACATATAATCACAAACTCAGTTACCAGAAAAAAAAATCAGAGACACATTTGTAACCATGAAATTAGATATAGTAAAATGAATGGTTGGTTATTTGCACTTGCAGAGTTTCCCTAAATTTTTATATGGATAAAAAATTAGAACCAGAGCTGACACTCTTGAAAATTAGGTTTTTTGTCTCCTGCTTCTTGATAGATGTAATCCTTCACTGCAGTTAATAAACCAAAGCATGGTTGTCTTGGGACTGAGGGATATCTGTAAGTTTGATTTTCCAGCCTTCCTTTTACTTTTTATTATAATAACAGGAATACAGAGCCAATTTATCTTGGCTCTAGTTATCTGATATGGTCATATAGCTCAATACTTTTATGTTTCATTAATTTATCCAAGTGAAATTACTGAAGTACTGTGAGAGGAACAATTTTCATGGTGTTTCTGACCCCACCTTAAAACTAAAATTATGAAACAATGTGAGAGGGTCTATTATATCTAGATTTCCAATTCCATCTCAGATTGTAGTCATGTAGATAAGCCTTGTAGAATCCAGGGTGGCTTCCTTTCCCCCTAGTCTTTGATGTTGGTGCATCATTCACCTTTATTAGTAATATCTCATTTGCTTACATAGTGAGATAGTTGTATTGTCTCTCTTAGTGCACAGTGACATGTGGCCAAGGGTTACGTTACCGAGTAGTATTGTGTATTGACCATCGTGGACAGCACGTCGGCGGCTGTAATCCACAACTTAAACTGCACATAAAAGAAGAGTGTATTGTGCCAATACCGTGTTACAAGCCAAGAGGTAACTGGAATTTTGTCAGAGTCTGTTATTGTTTTACATTTTTGTTAACGGAATTAAAAAGTCCCTGGTAGCCTCTTCCAGAAATGCCAGAAGCTGGAATTTACTAGGACTCATTCCAATCTTGTCAAAAGGAAATGCTGTAGTTATTAGTGCTAAGAAAGGTGTCCTGCTGATATTTCTTGGTGATAACATGGATACAGAATAATGAAAATAACAACCTAATTAAATTAAAATATGTAATTTAGTTAAACTGGAAAATCTAGAAGCAATACGTTAAGAGCTGGGGGAATTTTTCAACAACCAATAATATATTTTGAGAGCTTGTGGTATGTATAACCAGGGCCCTTCTTTTCTTGTTTCCTCAGGAATTGCAATGAAATTCTCAATTCACCACAGAAATTCCTGAATAGCAGCCATACTGATTTCCTTCCCTTCTCTCTTTTCACTTTTTGTTTTTTAAAAAATACCCTTAATGACATGGGTTCCAAAATGTATTTTTAAAAGAATGAATGGAGGGATAGACTATAGATGAATGGAAGAAAAAAGGAAAAGAGCAAAAGGAAAGAGATTAAAAGCTTTACCTCCTATTCTATTCTTGTCTCATCATTATTAGAAATAGGTATTCTTCTCTGTCCCTCTGAAACTTGCAGCTGGAGATGCTCATTGCCTTGTCATTTGAACGGTTTTACTGGGAGTATTCACAGCTCATCATTATCATTTGAACAGTAAAAATGAAAGTCAGATGTAGATAAATGCTATTGAAATCCAATGAGTTGCTTAAAGGATGTTTTGAAGTTTCAGGAAGTTCCTGAGACATATCGCCATCCAGAATGAAATGCCACAGAATCTCTGGAACCTAGAGCAGATGTTGGCCCTGATATATTCTGGAATTTTAGGAGATCTACATAGAATAGGAGGGGTAGATTCTCAGCTGGCGTAAACCATCAAAGCTTCGTTAATATAAGTGGAGCTATGCTGCTGACAATCTGGCTCAAGGAAAAGAACTCTCTACAACGGTACTGTATGTCTACACAGAACAAGAGGAGCTTAGATACACTTCTTTGCAATTTGATTGTTTTAAGTAAATTGAAAGGAGTGGATAGATAAGGTACTCAGTAAATAGTGTGTTTGACAACCAGCTCTTTAGTTCAAATCCATCTTATATGCACAATAAAACGAACACATTTATTAGGATGGTGAACCTTTTCACTCCTCTTCAAGCCCTTTACGGGGAGTTGGTAATATCAGCCCATTACCTCAGAAGGTGGGTATCTTGAAGGCCCAAAACTGTATATGGTAGTCCAGGTGAGGCTTCATCAGTGCTAAACAGAGTGGAGAATCAATCACTTCTTCTGATTTTCAAGTGACACTGCTATTGATACAACCCAGAGACAAAATAAAACATTGCCAAGATTGCCCTTGGCGTAGTTTGCACACCACTTGATGAGAGACCTCTACTCATCGTATGATGTTTTAAATTTTCATAAGTTTGATGGAATTAATTATATATTTTTCCCTACCAGAAAAAAATCCTGTAGAGGCTAAACTACCATGGTTAAAACAAGCACAAGAAATGGAGGAGACCAGAACCATATCAGAAGAGCCAACGTAAGTTCTTTATCTCTTGGGTGGAAAAAAATGGCTTGAAAGGCTTATTGTCTTTCAAATTTTTCTAGTATTTGACCCTCTTACCTTGGTTTTGGACAGTTATTCCTGGTCTTACACCTCAACAGCCCAGATGTGTCCTGAGTCATATAGCATATGTGGACTGGGCCAGTGGCTCTGTTAATACATTCATATCAATGGAGCCGTGCCAAAGGGCTTTAATTAAGCCTTAAGACAGCTATTGTGGGAGAATCCTCAGCTGATGTAAAGCAAATGTAGTCCATTTTCTGCCACTACTTCTCTTTCTCTCTGTGATGTAGAGGAGCATTTTCAGGGGAAGATTAAGGGCTAGAGTGCGCAGAGAAAGAGAAAAATGCACATCTCTGCGCACGTACAAGCACCCACCCCCCCCAAATATATTGATCGATCGATCTATATCCCACACCATCCTAAAAAATTTGGGAGAATTGTTTTAAAGTAACTCAAAAGATGTTATCCAGATTGTGCTCCTTATATCCTCTCTCCTATTGGGAGTTCATATCTCTGATTAAAAAACCCCCAGCATCCGCAGAATAACTTCTACATAGAGTGTTAGTGGGCACTGCTTAACTATTTTCTATATACCATATATAATAAGTGTGTAAGAGAGAGAAAGAGAGCTTGCATATTTAAATCTCATATATTAACTCTTCAAGGTTTCATAGATTTCATAGACATTAGGGTTGGAAGGGACCTCGGAAGATCATAGAGTCCAGCCCCCTGCCCCAGGGGCAGGAAGTCAGGAGGGATCATAGGAACCCAGCCGGATAAACATCCAACTTTCTCTCGAAGGCATTCAAAGTAGGTGCTTGAACCACCTCCCGTGGCAGGCTGTTCCAGACCTTGGGGGCTTGGACAGTAAAGAAGTTCTTTCTTATGTCCAGCCTGAAACGGTCTTGGAGGAGTTTGTGACCATTCGACCTTGTCATCCCTTGAGGTACTCTGGTGAACAGACATTCCCCAAGATCCTGGTGAACACCCCTTATAAACTTATAGGCAGCCATCAGATCACTCCTGAGCCTGCACTTTTCCAGGCTGAAGAGTCCCATACCTCTCAGCCTCTCATCATAAGGTCTGTTTTCCTGACCTCTGATCATGCGTGTGGCTCTTCTCTGGATTCTTTCAAGCTTCTCCACATCCTTTTTGAATTGTGGAGCCCATAACTGGACGCAGTACTCCAGCTGTGGCCTCACCAAGGCCAAGTACAAGGGGAGAATAACGTCCTGGGATTTGCTTGAGAAGCATCTATGGATGCAAGCCAGCTTTTTGCTCGCTTTAGTAGCAGCAGCATGACATCAAAGGCTCATATTCATCTTGTGGTCAATCATGCCCCCAAGTCCCTTTCATCCGTAGTGCTAGACAGCATAGCACTGCCAAACCTATAAGCATGCTGCAGGTTTTTCTTTCCAAGGTGGAGAACCTTGCATTTTTCGGTGTTAAACACCATTGGGTTCTTGTCCACCCATTTTTTTGAGCCTATCAAGGTCAGCCTGGATCTCCCTCCTGTCCTCAGGTGTGGATGCTTTACCCCAAAGTTTGGTGTCATCAGCAAACTTGGCCAGTCTGGTTCTGACTCCGGTGTCCACATCATTAATGAAGAAGTTGAATAATATAGGTCCAAGGACAGAGCCTTGAGGGACCCCACTGGTCACAGCACACCATGACGATTGACTTCCATCAACCACTACCCTCTGGGCCCGACCACGGAGCCAATTCCCCAGCCAGTGGATCATGGTGAGATCGAGGCTGCAGTTAGCCAGTTTCTCCAAGAGGCGATCATGGGATACCAGATCGAAGGCTTTTTTAAAGTCAAGACATACAACATCAATCTCCTCTCCCTTGTCCAGGTGATAGGTCACCTGGTCGTAAAAGGAAACGAGATTGGTCAAGCAAGACCTACTGCAACAAACCCGTGCTGGCTATCCCTCAGGATGTTGGCGTCGGCCAGTCCATTAAGGATGGCCTCTTTAATAAACTTTTCTAAGACCTTCCCCAGGATAGAAGTCAGGCTAATGGGCCTGTAGTTTGCTGGATCTACTTTCCTCCCTTTCTTGAAGATAGGCACCACATTGGCCTCCTTCCAGTCTTCGGGCACTACATGTCAGGGCCGGCTGACTTGAAGGTGTCCAGCCTCTCAAGGTGTTCCTTCACGAGGTCAGCATTGATGGAGGGCAAGGAATCTCCCTCACCCAGGCCTCCCTATCCTGTAATGGGCAGGGGCGTCCCATGGGGCTGGTGAAAGACTGACACAAAGTACCCATTTAGCAAGTTGGCTTTTTCCTGGGCATTGGCTGTCAGCTGTCCCATCTGGTTTAGCAGGGGTCCAATGTTGCCCTTGCTTTTCCTCCAGCTCCCCACATATCTAAAAAAGGATTTTTTATTGTCCTTGATAGATGTAGCCAGTTGGAGTTCCGTCGCAGGCTTGGCTTTCCTGGTTCACTCTCTGCAGGTCCGGACCAGCACAGAGTATTCCTCCTTGGTGGTGGATCCAGTCCTCTATCCTTTGTAGGTCTTTCTTTTTAGGCGCAGGAGATCCGCTAGTTCCCTGCAGAGCCAAGAGGTCTGCTGTGCTCTTTTTCTGCCTTTCCTCCGAGACGGAATAGACTTTGCTTGCACATCCAGGATTGCTCCCTTGAACTCCCCTCCCCTTTGGGTCATAGTCCATTAGGGCCTCACCGACAAGCCTCCTGAGCTTTTCAGAGTCAGCTTTCCTGAAGTCGAGGACTTCTGTATTGCTGACTGACTTGCCAGCTTTACAGTGGATGGTGAAGGTGATAAGCTCGTGGTCACTGTCACCCAGCTTCCCTTCAATTGTTAGGTTGCTGATTAGGTTGTCCCCAGTTGCCAGTACCAGGTCGAGCAGTGCTTTACCTCTTGTTGGCCCATAGACTTCTTGTGCCAGATAGAGCTCATCCACTCATGTGAAGAAGCTTTGCGACCATTCGGATTTGGCTGAGCTCTCTTCCCACGAGATGTCTGGGTAGTTGAAGTCTCCCATGACAACCATGGACCGGGAGCTTGCGGCCTCAGCCAATTCCTTGGTGAACTCCTGGTCAAGCTCTTGATTCTGGGTGGGAGGTCTGTAGTAGACTCCTACCATTGTGTCCCCTGTGCCATGTTCCCCACGGATTTTAACCCAGAGGGTCTCCAGTCATCTACCCTGGGTGCCAATGTCGGCTTGCAGGGATGCTTAGCTCTCCTTAACATAGAGAGCTACACCCCCGCCCCTTTTATCCACTCAATCTCTTCAGTAAAGGGTATGGCCATCTATACCCATGGTCCAATCATGGGCAGAGTCCCACCAGGTCTCTGTTATCCCTATGACATCGTAATTATTTGTGTTAAGCAGGAGGACAAGTTCCTCCTGTTTATTCCCCAAGCTACTGGCATTTGTGTACAGGAACACAAGTGTCCCCTTTGGGGCCCTTGCCTTGCCTACAGATTGTTCCAGGGCTGGGGCAGGGGTGGGCTCCCTGAAGTGCCTTGGCCTGCTGGCTTTGCAAGGGTTGCTTCGTGGGCCAGCAGTGGCGGTAGTCCCCGGCCCCCGGCCCCCGGCAGGCTTAGTTTAAAGCCCAGTGGAGCAGGTCAGCCAGTCTGGCTGAGAAGAGCCTCCTCCCCAGCGGAGAGACGTGGAGGCCATCCTTTCCCAGCAGCTCACTGCCTCTCTCACCAAAGAGCTGACTGTGGTCATGGAAGCCGAAGCCTTCCTGATGACACCAGCGCCACAGTATTTGGTTCACTACCTCAATCCTCCTCTCCCTCCTCAGCCCATAGCCCAAAACCACGAGGATCGAGCAAAACACCACCTGCACCCCCAACCCCTTAAGCCCCGCTCCCAAATCCTTGTAGCACTTCATGACCTGGCTGGGAGCACTCAGAGCTGTGTCATTTGTGCCCACTTGGATAAGAAGCATAGGGTAGTGGTCAGTGGGCTGGAGGAGTTCAGGGATCCTCTCCGCAATGTCTTGGATACGGGCTCCTGGGGAGCAGCAGACTTCCTGGGCTAAGGGGTCAGGGTGGCAGATTATGCTTGTCATGAGAGACTCCATCCCCCTCAGGATGGAGTCTCTCATGACAAACATTTCGCGTTTTGTCTTAGGGAGAGCAGGGGCAGTAGCTACAGTTGAGCCTGTGTTGTCTGCAGGAGCTGGCAGCTTGGCAGGCTCTGCTGGGGCTGCAAGAGGTTCATACCTGTTGCAAAGCTCCAGTGGGGCAGGGACCTTGGTGTGGTGGGCCTTGGGGCCCTTGCCCACCTTGGTTCATCCCTTTGGCTGGACAGAATGGGAAGTCCTCAAGTCCTCCCTTGTCCTGGAAGGAGACTTTGGTCTACCCACTGCCTCCAGGGGGTGAAGGGCCTGGCAGTAGGAGTCTATCTCCCGCTCACCATCCATGATGGTACGCAGTCTCTGGACTGTGGCCTGGAGCTCCTCAAGCCAACGCGCCAAAGACCCCAAAAAGGAGCAAACCTCACAAGGGGAGGTGGTCATGCTCCCAGACCCCAGAGCCTGAAAAAGTGCCAGGCAGCCCCCGCAGCCAAGAGCCAGGGGCTCTGTCTGCATGGAGCCCAGACCCATGGGCTCTGTCTGGGTGGAGGCCTCTGAGGCACCAGAGTGGGGGGGCTGCAGACCCCGAGGGGACCCTCGGGTTGTGATGTGTGCCCTTCTGCATGGTGCCGCTGGGAGGCTGGCTGTGGCTGGGACTGCCTTCCCTAGGGCACACAGGCAGGGCCTCGGGCCCTCCCGTTCACCCTCCTGCCCAAGCTCTGCAGTAACTCATGCGCCGGGCAGACCAGTGTGCCTGTTTGTGCGGCCTGTTTGTGAGGCTCCAGTCGCATGGCTCCCTGGGGGGCTGGGCGAAGTAGGAGCCGGGGCGGGGTGAGACCCTCCTCAGCCCCACTCAGCCACCTCCTCTCCACTGCCTGGGGGTTAACCCCCTCCCAGCACGGGCTCTGCTTACCTCCAGCTGTGC